CAGAGAGGGGCGGGGGGCCCTGGGCTCACCTTGTCCCACCCCCAGTAGATGGGCTTCAAGACAATCATGGTGAACTACAACCCCGAGACAGTGAGCACCGACTACGACATGTGCGACCGCCTCTACTTCGATGAGATCTCCTTTGAGGTATGGGGGCTGGAGCCCTGCCTGCTGTGGGGCGGGGGTTCTGCCCGCCGTGGGACTGGGTGAAGGCTGCTATGGCCCCGTCTGAACCATCCCCCTGCCCCGCGCGGTGCCGCAGGTGGTGATGGACATCTACGAGCTGGAGAACCCCGAGGGCGTGATCCTGTCGATGGGTGGGCAGCTGCCCAACAACATCGCCATGGCCCTGCACCGGCAGCAGTGCCGCATCCTGGGCACGTCCCCCGAGGCCATCGACTCGGCCGAGAACCGCTTCAAGTTCTCCCGCCTGCTTGACACCATCGGCATCAGCCAGCCCCTCTGGAAGGAGCTCTCTGACATGGAGGTGGGGCCTGGTGACAGGGGTGGGGCGGCTCAGGGTGGCCCTCAGAGCACCTCCTGAGGTTCCGTCTCCCACAGTCGGCCAAGTACTTCTGCTGCAAGGTGGGGTACCCCTGCGTCGTGCGCCCTTCCTACGTGCTGAGCGGTGCTGCCATGAACGTGGCCTACTCGGACAGCGACCTGGAGAAGTTCCTGAGCAATGCTGTGGCCGTGTCCAAGGAGCAGCCTGTTGTCATCTCCAAGTTCATCCAGGAGGCCAAGGTCCATCCAGGGGGCTGCTCCAGCCCCAGGGCACCCTGAGAGCCCTGTCCCCCCGTGACAGGCTGTGACCGTGTTCCCCCTCGCAGGAGATCGACGTGGATGCGGTGGCCTGTGATGGCGTTGTGGTGGCCATCGCCATCTCGGAGCACGTGGAGAATGCTGGGGTGCACTCAGGCGATGCCACGCTGGTGACGCCCCCCCAGGACATCACCCACACGACCCTGGAGCGCATCAAGGCCATTGTCCACGCCATCGGGCAGGAGCTGCAGGTCACAGGGCCCTTCAACCTGCAGCTCATTGCCAAGGTACGGGGCTGGGGGCCATGCTGGGGCACAGAGTGCCGGTGGGAGAACACCCCCTGTCCCCAGCTGTGCCTCATTCCATCCCCTCTCCCCCAGGACGACCAGCTGAAGGTGATCGAGTGCAACGTCCGCGTCTCCCGCTCCTTCCCCTTCGTGTCCAAGACCCTGGGGGTGGACCTGGTGGCTCTGGCCAGCCAGGTGATTATGGGCGAGGACGTGGAGCCCGTGGGGCTGATGACAGGCATGGGCATTGTAGGCGTCAAGGTGAGCAGGGGCCATGGGGGCAAGGCTGGGGTATGGGGCTGGGCAGCCCCTGAGCCCCCACTGCCCCCAGGTGCCCCAGTTCTCCTTCTCACGCCTGGCGGGCGCTGACGTGGTGCTGGGAGTGGAGATGACGAGCACGGGCGAGGTGGCCTGCTTCGGGGAGAACCGCTGTGAGGCGTACCTGAAGGCCATGCTCAGCACCGGCTTCAAGATCCCCAAGAAAAACATCCTGCTGACCATCGGCAGCTACAAGGTATGTGGGGGTCCATGCTGTGGGGGGTCAGGGTTTCCCCCCTGCCCTCTGACAGGCCCCCATCTCATCGCAGTACAAGAGCGAGCTGCTGCCCACGGTGCGGAGACTGGAGACCCTTGGCTACAACCTGTACGCCAGCCTTGGCACCGCCGACTTCTACACCGAGCACGGCATCAAGGTCGGGGCTGGGGGCTGGTGGGGCCGGGGGCACCCCCGGCAGAAGTGGGGGGCCCTGACGGGGTCACTGCCTGCAGGTGAAGGCCGTGGACTGGCACTTCGAGGAGGCTGATGGCAGCGAGGCCGGCGCCCGGGAGACCCAGCGCAGCATCCTGGACTACCTGGCCGAGAACCACTTTGAGATGGTCATCAACCTGTCGATGCGCAACTCGGGGGGCCGCCGGCTCTCCTCCTTCGTCACCAAGGGGTACCGCACCCGGCGTCTGGCTGTCGACTACTCCGTGCCCCTCATCATCGACATCAAGTGCACAAAGCTCTTCGTGGAGGTGGGCTGGGACGCGCGGGGCCCCAGGGAGTGCGTGCAGGGGAAGGGAGCAAAGGGAGGTTGTGGAAGTCCTGTTGTGGGCGCTGTGGGGCGGGCACTGTGTGCAGTCATCGCCGTGCAGGGGTTGCTTTTGGGGTGCAACTCGGGCGGCCATTGTTACCCTGGCCTGGGGTCCTGCCTCACAGCTGCTGTCTCTGCAGGCACTGAGCCAGATCGGGGCAGCCCCCCCACTGAAGATTCACGTGGACTGCATGACGTCCAAGAAACTCATCCGTCTGCCAGGTGAGTGGGACAGGGGCCACGGGGGGGGCAGGGGCTTCCCAGGTGGCCGTTTGGAGCTGGAGCAGCACTGGTAGCCAGGCTGGGCACATCTGTGAGCACTGCAGGGAGAGGAGATGTTTCCCTGCTGTGCTGCCATGTCCCCTGGGGCTGGGGGCTGCCGGTGCTGAGGCTGACGCTCCCCAGGCCTCATCGATGTGCACGTCCACCTCCGCGAGCCGGGCGGCACCCACAAGGAGGACTTTGCGTCGGGCACGGCAGCCGCCCTGGCCGGGGGCATCACCATGGTGTGTGCCATGCCCAACACCAGCCCTGCCATCACCGACGCCGCCTCCTTCGCCCTGGCACAGAAGGTGAGGGGCCGCTGCCAGCCTGATGCTCACGTCCCCTCCCTGGTCACTGCCACGCCAGCCATGGTGGGCTTGCTGCCTGCAGTGGGCTTGCTTGCCTCGGGTGGGACTGGCCCTGCCACAGTACCCACCGCTTCACACCCCACAGCTGGCCGAGGCTGGGGCCCGCTGCGACTTCGCCCTCTTCCTGGGGGCTTCCTCGGAGAACGCCAGAGCTCTGGGCCCCCTGGCCGGGGCGGCTGCCGGGCTCAAGATGTACCTGAACGACACCTTCTCCAGCCTGCGGATGGACGATGTGTCGCTGTGGATGGAGGTTGGTGGGCAGGGAGGGGCTGGCACGGGGCAGAGCCGCTCCCAGTGCGGGCGCCCACCAGCCCCATTTCCCCCAGCACCTGGAGCAGTGGCCG